TTGTATCTCATAAACTAAGAGAGATTTTTTAAATTGGACTTGATTTTTGCAAAACTCTAACAAAAGGAAAAAATGTGAATAACGTCGTAAATCTTATTTACAAAGGTCTAACCAAATAGCTTCTTTCTTCAAGAAGCTTAGGTCCTAAAATAAATTCGAACGTCGGGTATCAACAACTCCAGCGAAGTCGAAATCGCAATATCCTGTTCTTATCCTTCGATTTCAGGCTGGAGATAAAAAAATAAAAAATGAGAGCGAGAAAACTGATTTGAAATTAAAGATTTTTTTATATTGAAATTATTTAATTTAATGAGAACGAAAATTATTACTTAAAAATAGAAATCATAAAAAGAGAAACACAATGAGTAATGATACCGAATCCTACGTATTCAACGAAAGCAATTTGTGCTGGTAATAGCGGACAGCTTGCTACCAGAGAGCATCAATCGGATTTGAACAAAACGATCTGTCAGAAAACTAGACCAAACAAGCAAGCTACCACACGAAAGAACATATCGACTTAACAATCCTCAACCGCGAATATAAACGGAACGACATCTTGTAGTATAAAGATGCTTCTAAGGTCTCTCTTTGGAAAGGCGGAATACGATGATAATAGGACCTCAATTAACGTTTCGCATTCGCGTTCTATTAGACATTTCGCGAAATTTCGTGTTCGTGCATTTGTTCGCCACACAATTGCCAATAATTGATGGCGGGAGATGGGGTTTTGCTTTTGTTTCGAACGTTCCGAGCACTCTCGGGGCATTATGCGCACTGTCCAATATAGTTAGGCGTCGATTGGAACAAGAACAATGCAGGTCGACGTTCTAAAATCAAAAAAAAAACGGACCAACAACAAAAAAAAATATTTCGATAAACTTGTAACTACCATTAATAATACAGCTATTAAATTTCTTTATGAATCCATTATTGAACGTTAACAAAACAATAAGATATTAAATATAAAGACGAAATTTATTTTCGTATTTTATGATAAAGAAAAATGAATTTGTTGATTAAAATAGCAGTTTTGTTTTACTTCATATCAAGTCTTGAAGGGGTTTTAGAGGTAAATTGTTTTTGTAACAGTCGTTTCTTAGATATCATTTTTAGGAAATAAACGACATCCAATGCGTTCCTTTCAGCACAATATATAAAACGTGTAATCGTAAATGTACATGTCCAAAAAATGGGATAAGAGCTTTTATGATTTGTAATAAAAATCAATGTACATCATCGGAAAAAATGATGGAAAAACACTTGTAAACTGGTAAATTTTGATTCAAAAACAGAAATTTTAATTATATATTTTTAGGGAACCATTAGATCAATGTTTAAATTTAGATTATAACATTGAAAATCCATCAAATTGTGAATTATGTAGCTGCAATGAAGATCAGACAGAGATGGATTGTCAAATTCGCACATGCCCAGTGAACCAAAATCCTTACAACGATATCTGAAAGGCATCTTAGATTGCATCGTGCTAGATCTAGTTTAGAATAGGTTCATTAACTCGCCCTGTTGAACAAATCCCATTTCGTTATAATTCGCTGCAACGTCGGTGTAAGATCAGGCGATGAGGAGTTAATAGGAATTCCACAAAATCCTATTAAAGACTTATCAACTACAAAAATCGATTTCATGTATTTACACAGCGTAATAAACGAAAATCATTTCCATCTGAAAGCACGCAGGGTCTTAATTCAATAGAATCCCGTTTTTTATCTTGAGGGGATAACTTGTTTTAACAAGTTCAAAAGAAATTGCATTAAAACTTGCTGAAATTTTTCGGAAGTTGGTAAAATTTCATTTTATAATTGCCAAGTTTTACTAGCTCCTTTAGTGTCCTTTAATATAAGCAATAAAATTACTTGCAACTACATAGGTATAAAATAAACGAGTAATCTTTTTTTAATTTACATCATGTATAATGTGAACTATTAGGTCGATAAGCAGTGTTTAAGATATCGAAGCAAAAAATTATTCATCATGAAAGATTTGTTCACAGCTTTAAAAAATCATAACTACAATGATTATGGAAAATAAGAAATTCTTTATGATATGTTAAATCTACATTAAATTTGCTTTAAAATGTTCTTTATTTCATGTTGCTACCTCAATTCGATCTTGAGATACGATTTCTTAAATTTTATATATTAATCTATAATAATCAATCAGAGTTGGATTTAAAAAAATCATAACTACGATGTTTATGGAAAATGAGAAATTATTTATGGTACATTAAATCTTCATTAAATTTGCTTTAAAATGTTCTGTATTTCATGATGGTATCTCAATTCGTTCTTGAGATACGATTTATTAAAGAGAATATGGTTGTGTCATCATTAACAAGATGTGTTCTGCTACATCATTTAGAAAAGTGTTTGTCTACAGATATTTATGACCTTAATATGATATATTATAAACTTAATTAATTTGCATGTAGCCCTCGATCTTAATATGTGACTAAATTATTTTCACTAAATCCAATATAATAATATTTTTCGCCTTTCAATTCGTTTCTTTCTAGTGGCAAAAAATGTCAGTGGGATTTTGCAAGTCGTAAAGGAAAAAGAACAAATTTATGACGCGAACTTCCTGCAATTGACCCGTTTCAGTGTCAAAGAGAGCAGTGTAGTTTGAAATCCCTCCATTTTCTGTTCGAGGTAACTTTTATGCAAAAGTTTACTAGTAGTAAGGTCGAACGAATTCTTAGTCGAATAAAGTAAAACTCTATTTCAACTTGAGCAGTTTTTTAGTTCTTGTAAATGCTAGCGTTAATTAAAAAAAATTTAGAAAAAATCTTTCGTGTTCATTCAAAACTAAACGAGCCATTGAAATGTATTGAAACCTATTGTTAATTCATGCGGTAACTGGTATAATCCCCTTTTGTACATTGAAAGTTGAACTATTTCATAAAAAAATCCGTTTGTAACTAGGAATGAAAGATTTGTCTGAAAAAATGATGATCGATCAATTAATTATCGTTAAACAGATTTTGCGCAAAGTTACTTCGTAGTGGAGTTAATTAAAGGAGTTATGAGGCGAGATAACTTCCATTAAATCTTCCAGCTTGCGTTCTCCCACAGTTTCTCAGAAACTAAGTCTTTAAGTCAAGTATGATATTGCCAAGGCTTTTGTTCACCTGCAACCCTTAATAAAGATAAATACACATTAGTAGGTTAGGCACTTCCACATCTGGCCAGTTTAACGACTCATTAAATCCTGAGATACTTAATTACTTGAGTAATGGTTTACTTGCAACAATAAAACAACTGAAAATGGGTAAAAAATTTTAAAATGTTACGAAACTAGAATATTTAAACAAAAAAAATATTTGTTTTTCTATTTTTATTTTTAGCGGAACCGATATTTTGCAAGTTTATTTTTTTTGTTTAATATTGGATCCCGATAATAAACAATACCACGAACACCTAATAGTCTACAAATACGCTTTCAAATTTCGAATCCCAAAACAACAACAACAGCTTGCAAATGCCGTCGGCAATTAAGCTCTCCTCCTTTGAACCATTCGAGTCTGGATTAGTTATGCGACTACCAGCATGGTGTTGGTGACGCTTTTATGTCGCTGTAAACAGTGTTAATCCTTCGTTGGCAGGTGCTACGTATCCAAATCCAGAGGCATGTATTTACATGAAACGCGATGGAAACGTGCTTCTAATGCGGTTTTTCCTCAAACAAATTTCACCTGGGTTCAAAATTTGTTAATACTCACAAGACGTTTAGACGTCTCTAAAGGACTCAATGCAACAAAATTGTTTCAAAACGCTTTTTAGATTGTAGTTGCAGTTAAAAATTGCAAACGATCTCAATTTATAACCCCATAAGCTCTGTATTAATGGCAAATCAATAGAGAACCGCTTCTATGTCATCCTGTGTCCACGCTTCGAAAATGATTGATGATCGAAAGAGCAAATCTAAATTGATAACTGCATCAGTTTAGTTTTCAGAACGAATCTTAAAACTTTTAGATGCAAATAATGAAAAAAGAAACTTTTTTAAATGGAATAAGAAAGAGGAAAACATTTTTCAATAGTTTTGAAACGTTCGCGTTGCAACGACATTTTAATGCCATCTAATGCAAGTTTTAAAAGTTTATCCAAGTGGATTAAAATTGAATCATTCGTTTCGAAGGCGAAATCTGAACGTTTAACTTCCGATTGCGAGAGAGAATCTAAAGAATATCTCCCCCAGACACGTTGTCGAGATGTTTCTGACTACACTACAAGTTTGTCACTGTAGAACGTGACTGGAAAGACATCATCGCGTTTGAAATAGCTAAAAAAACGAAATAAACGTGTTCAGTTGGAAGAAGAACTCTCGTACAAATTGCTTCCATTTAATGCCTATAAAGATGCTCTTTTTTATCTACAACTCGTTATTTGATTTTATTGATTTAATAATAAAATAATCAATAAGAAAATTTAAGAGCGTTAATGAGGCCTTTTTAATGTTAAAAACCCCCTATTTTCTTGTTCCATAAAATAACGAGCTCCTGTTTCGTTAAAACAAATATAAGGGCTATCAACGAAACGAACAAAAGACTCTACACGAATAAAGACGAGATCTGGTACTCTTTTTAAAGAAAAAAAGTTAAATTTACCGACGTCAAAATAACCATACAGCGAACAAAGAGGTTATTTGTTTTTCCAAAATATATTACACACTAACTAGAGGTTTCTCTCTCTTTTAAAACGGCAAATGTCCGCTTTTGAGAGAAGATAGGTCCGAAAAACGGCTTTCTAAATGCCATTAAGCCCGTTTTAATTCGCGCTAAATTGGGTAAAACGCGCGAAAACTCCGTCTATTTACCCGGCGGCGGTTTCCACACTTTAGAAACTCTAAATTTAAACGCATTTCCCGAACGTTTTAAAGGCAATTAACGCGAGAAGGATTCACCAAAATAACACCAATAGGATTGAATAGATTCAAAAACTAAATATAATTGAATTAATCCTCTCTTTCTATTTCAGGAAATGGATTCGTTCCAATCATCGAAACACTTAATCTTCAAAGGTCCAGATGTTAATTGAAACAACCCAAAACAAAATTCAAGTAAGTAGTGATTAAATTCTTTGTTAACAGTGTTCGTAAACGAAATAACAGAGTAAATTGAAGCGAGGTTGGTTAAAATTAAATAGTCTCTAAAGTTTGTTTGGGAATATGTTTCAAATTTACTCGAATTCCTGTGGACAATGCATACTGTAATAATAGGTTGACATAGTAACTGAATAAATAGGTCCTATTTGAAAAGGATATTGTTGTTTGGAGAGGATAGTAGGGTTAACAATAGGGTTTAAATAAATTCCAAGTTATTTTTTTTTTATCTTTCTGATGATTTAATTTTTTGTTCTAACAGAACCTTTACTTCATTTTCCGAATAATCTTTCCTTTTTCTCTGCTGATCTTGACACAGGCTACACCCCATTTTGTTAACTCTCAGCCGATTTGGTCTACACCTGTTCTTTACCCAGAGATGAAGAAGACAGATGAGTTATTTCTCCTTTATTATAGGTGGTACAAGGTATTTAAGGTCTTTAATGAGATGGTTTTTAAATCGGGCTTTTATGTCATAATCTCAATCCTATCCCAAGTACTACGATTTTTCTGTAAATATTGGAAAGCCTCACCACAGGTGGTCATCATGTCTACGAAGAAGAAAAAGCTTGTGATGAATCAGACGGTGCTCAAAGTAAAGAGTACAAGTGTTTTGTCAAAAATTAAAAGTAAAGTAAAGCTTTTTGGACGACTACGTCGTTGGTCAACCCGTAACAAGTTATGAATCATTTTTAGTCGAAATTTTTATTCTGAGCTATTCCAGTAAGATACTAAGAGATAATATCTGAATTTGGGGAAATAGAATATATATAAATTGGTAAATTGGATAAAACTCATAATTTATTAAAGTTTTTTGGGATCGATGTAAAAACAAGTGAAATAAAAATTGCCAATTTACCTCATATTTGTTATTCTCCTTTCCAAGTTAAGTTTACTATTAATTAATTTGATGTCGATTGTTGATTAACATCATCTTACAAACGAACTTGAGTTGTTTATCCTCGAAACTATATAAACGCAAATGCAGGAGGAGATATATGGAAATGCAGAGAGAATTTGTATTTTACACTAAACTGTCTAAAGACGCTGTGTTAGTAGTAATGTTAAACATTTAAGTAAATGAATTGCGTGGTGTAGAGGCCACAAAAACCACACATTTACAAGTTATAACAGATTCATAACACAATGTAGTTTGGCTACTCCAATTCGTGTAAATACTTCATACGTAATATTCGTAATTTCTATTTAAACACGTTCCCATTATCGTAATAAACTATTAATTCATGAGGAAATTTTAATAATTAACGGTAACATATAGTGAATTCTAGGAGTTGGATATTTGCACGAAACTAACAGGGGTTATTTGCTTTCAATAGGGGTTGAATGTTAGCTGCTGAATCAGTCAGCAGAATTCGCCTATTGCAAGATCACATGCTCGTAATGCAGGATTATATGATCACGTAGTTTCGTGATAGGAAACGTGCCTCGGTAACATCAAACATACAGTTCGTATAGAAGTATTATAATTCGTGGTTGTTTGTTGTCGAACTATTCTGATTGTGTAAATTTTCTAGTACGTAATTTTGGACGTCAATATTTAACGTTTTTGCCGCAACACCGTAACCAAATTACCCAATTACGGGCGCGTAGCCGTGGAGGAAACCAACGGAATTTGCTGCGTTTAAAAGTTTATGTTTACGTGCACACTTTTGACCTGGACTCGGCTTAATTGCGAAACAAAGTTTGGTCCGGATCTGAAATCTCTGGATTTTCAACTTCGTTATCGTGGTGAATTAAGATGGGAGTTTCAACAATAACCTCACCATTTCAATTAACTCTGTTAATTAATAAAGATAATTTATTGAATTAAAGTACATAATAGAACTGAAACATAACGATTCGAGAGGAATATGAAATATAAAGGACACTGAAATGTTAAGCATGTGCAGCTATTACCATTTCACTCCCAGAAAGTTTAAATCCGTTCAGAGTTCCAAACGTTTTTGCTGTTATTGCACTATAAGTGTCGCTTCTCTCTTAAATCAACCAAAATTTACGTTACCACTAAAGCATAACACTTCCCAACAAGCGATTCTGGAAACATCTATTTATAACAGAGATTACTTTTAATTATCGTACCCGGAACCCAGTCTCGCGCAATTTTAATCGCGTTAACGTCCGAGGTGAACGATCTCGCGCTCCGTTCTAAACCGATCCCTATGAAGGAAATTGCGCCACGATGCTCATTTGTTTCCATTTAGCGTTGAGTGCATCCCAGGACTGATACTGGATCGGCAGGATCCTGGTCCGATATTGCGGTAGCCCTCGTTAATTTTAATTATGGTTCCCGAAGCCGTACACCACTTTAAAATATTCCCAGGTAATTGATATTATCCACTGAGTGCCTGCTCTACTTCACGTTGAAGGAAATTTATGTCAAAAGTACTCGCTTTAAGAACCCAACCAAGTTTCACGAACGATGTTTTCATTCTTAACTGAACTATCCAATTACAATGGAAATCTGATTAACACTATCAAGTGATAATTGAAGTTGAAACGGATAGAAATAATTGATTAATTTTATAATATCTGCCTCAATATCTTGATATAAAACACTCCAAGTTTTCATAGCAATGGATTATTCCAGTGAAGATGAAGCCAGTACACACTGTATTTCACATCCACTCCTCCTGGAAAAGTTTAAGGCGAAAATATTAATAATATTTATTTCTTTGTTACAGATATTGAAACCTGTATGTAACCATCACCCAACTCATCATCGAAAATGAACAAATCGAATGGAAGTTACGAGACATCACTCGGTGTATTAGCAGTACCAGAATGGGAAGCAATAATAACAATACTAACTCTTTCCCTAATAATAATCTTAACGATAGTTGGAAATATCTTGGTGATACTCAGCGTTTTTACTCATCCACCGTTACGAATAGTTCAAAATTTCTTTATCGTTTCCTTAGCGGTGGCAGATTTAACCGTAGCCCTTTTAGTGATGCCCTTGAACGTCGCTTACTTCATAATAGGTAATTGGATTTTCGATATTCATGTGTGCAAGATGTGGTTGACCGCTGACATCATGTGTTGTACCGCTTCGATATTGAATCTATGCGGTATAGCTCTGGACAGATTCTGGGCGATTACGGATCCGATTAATTACGCTCAAAAGAGAACTTTGAAGAGGGTTTTGTGGATGATTTTCGGCATATGGGTTTTGTCGTTGTTAATTAGTTCTCCGCCATTAATGGGATGGAACGATTGGGATCCGAAAGATTTTGAAGTAAAGAAAATTTGCAAATTAACGGAGGAGTGTGGTTACGTGGTTTATTCTTCATTGGGATCGTTTTTTATCCCACTTTTTATTATGACAATTGTTTATGTTGAGATTTATATTGCAACGAAAAGAAGGTTAAGGGAAAGAGCGAGGGCTAGTAAATTAAATGCTTTGGTGACGAAGAACCCAGCACCGAATTATAATAAAAATCATGATAGGGAGTCTGTTAGTAGTGAGACTAATTATGAAGAGGGAGGTGAAGAGAAGCCTGTTAATGGGAAATTTAAGGAAAAGAGGAAGAAAAGTAAGAAGAAAAAGAAGGAAAAGGACGTTGAAAAAGGTAATTATTTGAAACCGGTGTTGGTTCATGAAGATTCTTTTACTGATAATGCCGAAAATACTTCTGGGTCACAAAGGAAAAATTCGATTCCTTCAACTTCTGATTGTAAAGAAGCTCTCTATATTAATAATCAAAATAAACAGCCCACTGCTCCTCCTCCAGTTAAAAAGCCAGGTATGGTTTATCAATTCATCGAAGAAAAACAAAGAATATCACTTTCAAAAGAAAGAAGGGCGGCGAGAACCCTTGGTATCATAATGGGAGTATTTGTTATATGTTGGTTACCATTTTTCTTAATGTATGTTATAGTGGCATTTTGTCAAAAATGCGAACCATCTCCTAGACTATCTCAATTCATAACATGGTTAGGTTATATTAATTCTACATTAAATCCAATAATTTATACGATATTTAATTTGGACTTTAGAAAAGCTTTCAAAAAGTTGCTTAAATTAAGCTAAAATCTAAAATGTAATAAATTAAAAAAAGTCGATTCGTTTACATTCTAGTAATAAAGAGTTTGTAAATAAACCTTTGTACATTCCAATTTTTGAGCTTTCGCCACGATTTCCTAGAGCCCAGGAAGTCGTCGCAAGCTGTGAAAGTGTAAGTATTTCGTCGTGATGTCACAAAACTATTAAAAATAAAAATACCTATTTAATTATATAATAAAAATACCTCTAGGATTTAAAAGAAATATGCTCATTGTGAAACGCTTCAAGAACAAAAATATATATCATACACTGTGATTAAAAATAAATAACATTTTTTTTAATACTTAATAAATTTCGCGTGTTAATTTATTTTTTAGGATTAAAAACTTTCTGAACGAAATCGATGTAAGATTTATGTGAAAATCTACTCTTAAACTAGTTTTAAAAAAATAAAGACTTCCAAACTAAAAATGTACATAAACTGAGTTATGGAACTAAATAAAGTAAACACGTTCGAATCTAAAATAAATGTGTTTTGTTGTTTTCTCTTTTCATACTTTTTACTTGGTGAGAAAATAGAAATATACGAGGGTTATGAAAAGAAAAATAGGGTAGAAAAATAATAGTCGCCCTGAAAGGTAATTTTTCAGCGGGAATTTTCTGAATAAATTATCCTCCTAGATAAATATACAGTGCCCACCTTCACGAGTACTCCTCGTATATCCCCTTAATATACGAGATATTTACACGTTATTTTTCATGCGCTCACAGACTTTTGATGAAGATACGTCATAGAGATTAACGTAAAAATATTCCCCAACTTTCGCAAGAAAAAAAAAACAAAAACATCTATCATTCCTTTTACAAAGATTTATGATTCGAATGGAAAATGGAAATTTAGGTCAACCCTTAAAGCCAGAAATTTCCCATCAAACCTAGCAATTTCCTTGTGATCCCAGAGAAAACTTGAAGCGCAAAATACATATTGAATAAAATATGCGGGTATGTAAGGATACATCGCGTTTAAGGGAATGACGTTCCTTGAGATCCTTCGGGACTGTTTCCCTATCTCCTAGCCTTTGGCTGTATACAGACAGATTGAATTTTACCCAAAGGTCAGATACTTTCGTTCTTATGAAAATGATATGAAAAAAAATGACCATAAAGATATTTTAAAGAATACTCTAAAGGTATAAAGAAAAAAATAAAATAAATGTAGTTATTCAATTTTTTGTAAGATTATGACTATTAAAATATTAGTTATCGCTTTAATATTAACAAAGCTTTATAACCATTAGGCATCGGAACTGAATTTAGACACAGAACACGAAATACATTTTCCGTGCACATAGTTTTCAATTTTCCTTAATTACTAGCATTAATTAACACGGGTCTTTAATTTACCACCGGAGTATCAATGGCAATTGGAGGTATCGATGATTCTTGTATTTTAACGCATGATCAGCATGGAAAAAGTAATTACTCTATTAATTAACTTACCTTAATAACTTCAATGTTCTTCATCTATTTTGATACAATTCTAACATTTTGATCTGCTTTACATTTTTCTCTGCCCTTGAATCTACATCATAAAAGAAATAACAGAATGTTTTAAAGTATTGATTTTAATGACATATATCGAACGGTGATTTGGGTTGTCTATATGATGTTTGGGACTAAAATAATATAAGGAAGTTACTCTTAAAATTATTCACACCCAAAACCCTACCCAACCCAACAATCAATCCAAATTTAATCATGGAGGAGAATTTTATGTGATCTTAGGTGCTTACGTAAAAGGATTTTGCGACAATTAGACATTTAATTTTTCTCCCGCTGGCATCTGTTTCTGCCACTGAGAGGTTGATCCCAATGGTTTCCGGCTGCTGGTCAAAAGCACGACTTGGATTTATCCACTGGCATAGACCACATCAATGCTTGTGAAAAAAGACCGATCTTCCATCATGGTCTTATCATGTTCTGGTAGCGTATTTAATAACTTCTGAACCATTGCTAATTATAGAAGCTGAAACATAAATGGTAACAAAGGTTGCATCAACATCTGTAACAGATATATCATGAAAATCTGCAGTACATTAAGAGAAAAATATAGCCTTAATATTTTAAATTAAAAAAAAATTGTAAAAATGTTCAAAGATAAAAATGACAGCAGCTAACCAAATAATTTAAGAGCAAACGAAGTTAAAATGGTCTAATGTTTGACCTTTTGAAAAAAGGTCACGAAGCTTTCCGCCCCTTTTGAATTTTAATGAAGTTCAGCTGTCGTGATATTTAATACAAGCTTCCCCATTTCCGTCTTAATTATTTTATTTCAAGCTTTTTCGCCTTTTTCTCTTGCCTGGGTATATAAAAAAAAACCTGAAAATAGTAAAATGTAACATGGGTATTTTCAAATTCAATATCGAACGCTGTCGCTTAAAACGTTGACATCAATTTTGAATTCTAGCTAAGCGATAGACGTTTAGCGGAATTTTTAATAAACCCCGCGGCTTTTCAACGTTCCGATCGAACGGAATTTGCTATTTAATACCGAACATATTCGTTGTTTTCGGTTAACGCAACCGCGTTTCCACACACTTTAGTGAATCGTTTCCCCTTTGAGTTGCTTTCCTTTCGCTTAACGTCGAGTGCAGGGTTGTTGCGTTTCCTGAAAAACTTAAAAGCCTCGGACCAATTCTACGCTACTGTTTGCCACGCAATTTTAATTAAAAGTTTCATTTGTCTCGCTCCAGGTGGGTGGAGCAGTTTCGTACAAATTAAAAAATGTTGCACAAGTTTTGTGTTACACTAACAAATATTCACACTTTTCTGCGACTTTATTACCTCCTTTGCGACCCAATTATGTTTCAAAACAATCTATTATCACCGCTTCCAGCAAAAGACACTATGTGTAATGGAAAAACGGGGCAAAAGTAATTTTATTAAAAGCCCAAGTAAAAGTAAGATCACCTCGGGATATAAATATTTTCTGATTACATTTTTTTCTGTAATTTGCTAAATTAAGCTAAAAAATAATTATTTAGAAATTTCTGGGCAAATATATTTTCCCTTCTCCTTTAACAACCCTTATTTAATTATTTATGCCAAACGTATCCAGAAGAGAATTCCTCTAAATTATTTACCCAAAACATTAACGAGAGGATACTGAATTTTGTATATTTCCCTCCTTTCCACCTAATTCCCCGATCATTCTCTAGATGCTATCTTCTAAGCAAATCTGTGACAGTGCATTCTCTATTGTATTACTCCAGAACACAACATGCTGCAACCCCATAATTGGCTAATTAAATAACCCGAAACCGAGGCATATTAATGGCGAATTAGTACCGAGGAAATTACATGTTGCAATTCCCCAGTTTGGGGACTTGGACCTTTAAACAAATTAAAAATTAAACAAATTTAGCATATTTGAATACACCATGAAGGTAATAACAACGAAATATAAAGTTTTCGAGTTCGTCTCTTTACAGTTCAAGACACCACCTGAAAGTTGAACCACCAGAGGATACGAACTTTAAAGCTTCTGCTCGAAATTAGAACCTCGAAGGTGCAATCTTGCATAATACATGCGGATCTCTCAAGCATAGACTAGTTCATCAATGAACAAAACGAAAACGCTGGCAACTAGTAGTTGTCTAACGCATTTTTAACGAGTTTCTATTCGACCTACTTCAACGACACTCAAGAGAAAATCTAATATTTCCCCGGAAGGAAGCGCGTGTTTATTATATTCTGAGAAATTGTCAGTCAAGCGTATAGAAGTGTCTTGAGATTCCATCAGGGCACGTATTCCTTTCATTCGATAACAAAGGAATAAAAGTCCTTTTTCGATTGAGTAATTTAAACACTAAAACATATTAAAATTAGATTGAATATTATTAAAATAAAGATGACGATCGATTTATGTTCTCTTCATGATTAACCTTCACTTCCCAAAATCTTTTTAATACCAACGTACTCTTCGCGATTGCGTCTCACCTCAAGGATTACGTCAATTTTAAATTACATCATCAAAAGAAAAAAGAACGGGCGTCTAATTCTTTTTTTGACGACTCAGCAAAATTTAAATGATATACAAACAGAACGAGAAAAGGTAAAGGTAATAAGACCTTTGTCGTGTTAATTAGTATTTTAAATCAATCTTCAAGATTCATTAAAATTAATGAAAGGTTACACTTTCGTATTTGTTTAAATGATAATTTTTATGGGGTAAAAGAAATAAAAAGTGCAAATGATATAATTTCATTTTATAACATTTACATGTCTTGTTCTCTTTATTTCTTGTCCATTTTTTGTTCCAAGTATGATCCAAGGATGAATTTAGAATCATCGGTGTTACGAAGATAAAAATTTAGATCGAATAGTTCGAAGACGGCCGTGATTAGTTTTGCTCATGATTTTGCATTCTGAATCATACTGGCATCGATGAAAATGAAATGGCAGATGAGCAAGTACAAACAGGCAGTACAAAAGTGTTTGTAGCTAGCTGTTTAGAGTTGCCGGATGAATTATTGCGATAAATAATGTAAAGGATGTAAACCAAAAACGAACATAACATCTAAACCTAATCCTAATCTAAAACTTAGTATACTAACTGGTGTAAATGAACTCGCAGAAACTAGTCATACAAAATAATCACTTTATTGCAAGTTTCTAGGAGTATATTTACAATACTTCATATACTGCTCTCTGGTGAGTTGTTTTATTAGACTTTGGTGGGGTCCAAATCTCGTTTAAACTTTAATATATTTATTAGATGTCCACTTACAGCGGCGTAAATCCCATCTGAGCCACCTGGTTGTAGGGAAATTCGAAATTAACGTCATAAATCCTGGTGTGGTCCTGTTCCGGCCGCCTCCCGTGCATAAAACTGCACTGTGTTAAAACACCACCACGACCTGGTGACTTATGTCTATAAAGTATTTTTTCGTGGATAACTCTAAAATTCAACGGTAATTTCCGTTTGTGTGTACTTACATGTAACGTAATCGTTTTATAAATAGAGTTTTCTATATCCTCGATCGCGCGGTTATATCAATTAGCAGTAAGGTTTCTCTCAATGTCCGTTTTATGTACCTTCTCCAGCGAGAAAATTGATCGAGAACGAGAAGCACGAATTTCGTCCGCGACGGAGACTGATTTATTGAAATGAACTTCGACTGGGTAGATTATTGGTTCATTAATATCGCGGAGTAATTTATGTGGTTCGATACAGAATATATTTCAATCAAAACTGGGGTTGGGTTCGCAAATAACGTCCATTAATTCGGCACGCTTTCAGTATGAATTTAGTTATTATAGAATATGATTTAGATGACTGTTTAGATAAAAAAATATAAAATAGAGAACATGAAACAATTTCAATTTAAATTTAACATCCTCATTTTTTCTAAAACAAATTGAAGGCGCTTGCAAAATGAAGTGGAAATTAACCCCTCTTGCTCGCTAATGTATAATTTGCCTTTGAACTAGTTCAGTAGCCTCTCGACTATAAAGCCCGGCTGATTACCAGCTTTCAAATTCATGAAAAGACACCACTTAGTTTCTAAATGATTTCATTAACAACACACATTTCCAACTCAAATAGATATATTTTTTTTCAATTATCATTTTCAAACAGTAAATTATTTCAATTAAAACCGTCATCGGCAGAACAATAATTATAGTAAATCCGCGTGCATATGAGTTTTATTGCATATAAAAAATGTTAAATTGATCTCGTAACAGCATTTACATCATACCGTTGAACAGAAAATTCAATCTAACGAAACGAACAAATTGAATCGTTTCCCTCCAGGTCGAAATCAATCGGAGTAATTAAACCTGTCGAGTTAGAAAAAAAAATGTGAGGCCGCAATTCGAAGCCTCCATCGGTAATTCCATACTATTAATTTTATAATGGTGCCTTTTTCCCGGTAAGGTCTCGATCACCAGAAAAACGATTTGAGTCTTTTTTACGCCCGGATCCTGGTTTTTATAACCTTGGAGTCGAGTATGTTAGGAATCACATCATCGGCTTTTCAACGTTTACTATAAAAACAAGTTGATGTACTCTAAACTTTATTACTTTAACATCAACTGCCAAACAATGATTGTGGTAAGTTATTTTAATTATTCGAAGAAATTATTTTATTTTGATAATTTACTTTTTTGTTTTAGTTCGGATTTGTATTCATATTTACTTTGGCTTCGGCAGCAAGATTAGATCGTCAATATCTTCCACCTCCCGGTGCTTCTTCTGCTGGAGGATCAGGAAACATTTTACAATCACCAATTGGATCAACAAGTTCAACATCTCAATCGTCATCGTTTCCATCAACTTCTCGACCATTTTCTTCTTCGGGTCAATTTCCTTCTCCTAGTTATCAAAGACCAGGTTTGCAAAATCAATTCCAGTATCAACAACCTCAACGTTTTCCACAAAGTAGGCCACAATTTAGACCACAAAGTTTTGGACAAACAGGATCTCAAGAGTATCCGCAAGTTGTTCCACAAAATGTACCACAAAGTGTTCCGCAAGGAGTACCTCAACAATATGGTCAAATCGCTCCTCAAGGATTTGGCCAAATAGGATCAGCTTTTCCACAAAGTAGACCACAAAATTATCCACAAGGAGATTCTCAAGATTACGGTTCAAGCAGACCAGGAGGATTTGGAATACCATCTCAAGAATATGGTCCAAGCCCACAAAGTATTCCTCAAAGTAGACCACAAGGATATGGGCAAAGTGCAAGACCTCAATACCAACCACAAGATGTTCCTCAACGATTCCCAATAGGAGTACCACAAGTACAACAACAACAGCCATTCGGAAATGGTCCAGGTTTATTCTCTTCCCCACAAAGACCTTCACAATCTGGACCAAATCGCGGTTATTTGCCACCCGGAAAATAAATTTTAATTTAATTTATTTTACTTAATTCATGTATATTAAAATTAACCACTTGAATAAAAAAATATTGCAGAAATAAAATGTAATCCTTTGAACTCATCCCGCTTTAAAAAGTTTTATTCGTCAAACCCTGGTAAATTGGCCACCTCGTTACGAAGTTTCTACATACTTCACCCAACCCGGAAAAGTAGCTACACCTTAAAAATCCTCTTTAATGTTACACTTACAACGAGGTTCATAACCCTTTTGCGCGTCACCCCTCCTTTCCAATTCCCAAGTTTAAATTAGTTCCTTATTTACACCACGCCGCAAACCCCATAAATGTCGTGAACTGAGAAACGTGTTTCGACACGTCTTCAATTCGATAACTGATGGTTTGTTTTCGAAATTATCGAGAACCTCGGCTACTGAACAGCAACACAATAACCTATTGTCCACCATCGACCCGATGATGTACTGTTAATGGAGGATATAAATTATTATGTTGTTGGAAATTCGTAGTTCTCACAAGGGAATGTTACTTCTGAATCAATAATAAATTCACTTAAATGTTTGAATTTATTAAAATATTTTTATTTATATTTTTTTATACATTTTGCATACCAAAAATATTAATTTCTATAAAGGATATTTTAAATTACTTAGTATCTATACCCTCCATTGTTGGTTCCTTGATTGTAGGTTTGTCCATTAACTTGGTTAGTTCCAGAATATCCTTGATAACTCTTGTAAGCTTGTTGAGAGTTATAATTGTATCCTTTTCCTTCAGTAATGGCACTCTTAGCAGCATCAGAAGCAGTCATTGATATAGCTTGATTAATGTGTTCCCCGATAGGTTGGAATCCGTTTTCATCAGCAATATAGTTAACTGTGTAAACTTTGCCATCATCCCCAGCGTAAGAATAACTTCCTTGAACAACGGTAGCTTCACCTTCAGTGACTTGTTTTAATTGGCCTTGCTCATTTTGGCTGATTTTGTTCTCAGTTTCATACTCGAAATGATAATTTCCAGATCCGTCATTAGAGTTGTCAGCTCGGATGATGTTGGCCCTAGCTTCTGGGTTGTTAGATCTAAAGTCAGCTGGACCATATACAGGGGATGGGGCAGAATGTGCTGGAGTCCCATAAGAAGTTACGGGAGATTGATGGAAAGCTGGTCTTCTAGATTGGATAATTGGAGATCCATATTGAGTGGATGGTTGGAAAGATTGAGATGGTTGGAAATGCGATGATTGAGTTGGCCCATTAAAGGGGGTAGCTAAAAATTGTGCACCACCCGCTGTTTTTGAGCTTCCCGGAGGAAGATAAGTATTTTCCAATCTTCCTGCATAAGCTAATCCAGCTAAAAGTACTACGGCAAACTAAACCAAATAAAATTTATTAAAAAAAACAAGTTTAATTAAATCCCCATCTTACCACTTTCATCATTATTTGTTGTTGTGATGTTGTTCTTGTATAAGACACTGAACGATTGATGACTGTAAATCAACTGGATCGCTTTATATACCATCCGAAACTGGGTGATCGTCTAATTAAGAGATGATACCAGACGCGTTTTTCTTCTCGGTCGCCGTCTTCAAGGTAACACGCGTCGGCGTATGTACCCGAAATAAAAAATGAAAGTATTGAGATCGACTCCAATCCAGATTACCTACTCGCATTTACTCTATTCGATGCATGCCTAAAGATCTGACGCAATCCGATAAAGATAAATGGCGAACGAAAGGCTAATTAGAGAAGAAATTGAAAGATGAACCTTGATGAGGTGAGAAATCAAGTTTATGTAACGAGGTTTCTTTAGATTTTTGAACGTATATAAAAGGACTAAAAAATTTTAGGTTGTCAGTTCAAAAAACATCCTCAAATACAAGAACACCTAACAAACTAGATCAAAGAAAATCATGAAAACCATTTCGTGTTTAGCACTCTGTTTCATCTCTACAGTGATTTGTGGAAAATTAGATAAAACTTATTTACCACCAAACTCAGCTGGGGGATCCGGAGGAAATGAAAATATTCTCAACACTCCAATTAATCCGGATGAGTCTAAATACACCATAGCTTCACCTTCACCTGTTTATGGGCCAGCTCACCACGATGAAAGACAAAGCAACATCCAAAGATCCAATAACCCAGAAGCTCGCGCTAACTTAATCAAATTCGACAACAACAATGATGGAAGTGGTAATTACCACTTTGATTTTGAAACTGAAAATAGAATTCGCCACGAAGAACACGGCCAAATCAAACAAGATGGTGAAGCTGTGGTTGTTCAAGGAAGTTATTCTTATGTTGGAGATGATGGAAAAACGTATACTGTAACGTACATCGCCGATGAAAATGGATTTCAACCAGCCGGAGAACATATCAACGAGGCTATAACCAAAACGGCTTCCGATGCGGCGAGATTGAGTGTTAATGATGTTCATAGCGGATCTAATGGATACGCTAGTAATAATTATGAAGGTGTTAATGCGAAAAGTGAAAATGTAAATGGTGGATATCAATATTAAATTCTTTGATGTAAATTTTAAAATGACCGAGTTAATTTATTACTTAATGGAAATAAATAATTTAAAATTCAAATTTGTTTTAATTATTTTAAAATTTCCAGAAAATAAACACATTTAGCAAGCAAATAATAGAATTGAAAATAAACATCCGGGAGTTTTATTATTACCCATTTGATGCTTTCAATTTTATTGTTTAAACTATTTTTATTTGAATTTTTCGTTATAAAATTTACTCGCAACATCGAATCTACAAGGCGATGCATTCAGTAATTGTGTTTTCACGTACTAAAGGATTCCGTTTGGTAAATTATTCACTTCAGAATGTAGTTTCGAGTCGTGACTATAAGTTCAGTAACCAAGGGAATTCCATACCAAACCATTCCTTTGAATCGAAAACATAACTTCCGCCGCGTTTCGCCAAGATATAATAAAAGATTCAAAACTAAAACCCGAGTTCTTATGGTTTTCTTTCAATACTAAAAAAAAATGATGCCCCGAAATCCATTTCAAATTACGAAACAAGAACACTTTAAGGTCGATCGTTATTTTCGATTTTCGATGGTATTTTAATTACCAATTTACCATCGTATATGATGTGGTGAGATGTTCGAAGCCGCGGGCAATTCTTACGAAATAAGAACGTATTTTCGTACGTTAAATGTGGGTTAATTTTCTTTTACTATTGCAAATCATTTATTCTTTAAATTTTAACTAATACCTCCCAATAGGATTTAAAGTGTATAACAACTAATAAATCTCGATAAACGACAATTTGACGATACGTTTATTGCAAAATATTTTACACGAACGTACATTTCGGTTTTGTAAATGCGTCGATAATTTAAAAGTTATAAGCAATAAATTACTCGAACGTTCGTTTCGAAAATGTATTATCGTTGTAGTAATAGTTGTTGTTGTTGTTGTTGGTAGTGGTTTTGGTGGTGAAACAGTAACTCTTTCATAGAATAATTATTACTATCGCGTAGAAACTAACGTGTTTCCGTGAAGTTTCCACGTAGTCGAGACCAAAGTGACTCCTAATGGCGGTACGCTTTTAGCTTATAACCGAAGGAGCTTCGGTTAAGGACATAAAGAATAAAAAGACGTTATATTTGCCGAACGATGCGACACCGGTTAAACCGCTAAGGAGCAAAACCTGCGCAAATGCAATACACTTTAAACTTTTGTCTCTCTTATGGTTGTCGACTGGGAATTAAACTCTACCGCCAGCGGGAACTACTTCAATTAATTAGTCGCGAGCTGTTCTTGTCGTGTTTTCAAACCAACGACAACGGTGGCTTCCGTTCTAATTTCCAGCCGAACCACCATGGAATAGGAATCCTTGTTGTATCCCAAAATGCTTCTGGTAGGTACGTGTTTTCTGGAAAAACACAACAAAATTAATTCCGGTTAGGCACCTCAATTCAAATTGTTTGTTGTTGTGTATGTAATAAAGGAGATCTGAATGGAAATCCAAAATGGACTATACTCGCTATAATTGACATTACAAAAGAACACTTCACGCTATAATAAAATTGCCAAAGAATACTTCATGGTATAATTAATGTTTGTAAACAAAACTAACCTTACCGAACGTTCCTTCACGCTATAATTGACATTACAAAAGAAAACTTCACGCTATAATTGCCATTACAAATTGCCAAAGAATACTTCATGGTATAATTAATGTTTGTAAACAAAACTAACCTTACCTAACATTCCTTCACGCTATAATTGACATTACAAAAGAAAACTTCACGCTATAATTGCCATTACTAATTGCCAAAGAATACTTCATGGTATAATTAATGTTTGTAAACAAAACTAACCTTACCTAACATTCAGCGTCTGAAGACACAGGGCTAAACCCGAAACTTAAAAATATACAACTTAGCGCTGAATAACAATTAAAACTAGAACTAACACTTGCACTAGAACTATACTCTGTTTTTAAACCAGGAGGAGTAAACGCGAAAGTCAGATTTACACTGGAAAAAATCACCAGAAAATATCACTAGATATTTTGGCGGTAAATTTAAATTAATAATTATTATTTATTTATTTACTTATTATTGTATTTATTTTCGTTTGTTATCGTCAACACTATACATACAAATTAACATTGAAGTTATGAGTGTATTTATTTCAAAATATAATAAAAAAGGGTTTAAGAACACAAAATATACAATAATGACACGAAACTGTCGAATTATCAATTACCTAACCTTCAAATTCAAAATCAAAATTCAAAATTGCCTGTGTGTGAACCTTCCTCGCATTCAACCAATCACGTGCAAGGTCAATCTGGTGACAAATTTAAAATACTCCTCCTGGTTTAAAAACAGAGTATACGAATGATGCTAGTATTAGACTAGTATTGCCCAAATGCGATGAATGCAAAGGCAGTATAGAAAAGACACCAGGATTGTGATTCAATTGCAGATTTCTTAATAACATCATTAAAAAAAATCAATTGCTTATTAAATTTCAAAATTACCGCGGTTTTAAAACTAATTTTCCTGAATTGTCCTAAAATAATAAAAAAAACTCGAATATCATTAAGTATTACTAATTTTAATCGTGTTGTTGCAAATTTATTTTTAAAAAATTAATTAAAAAAACAGTTTTTGACAATAAAAATTAATTAATTCAAACTTTATACCAACCTGATATGAAGAAAAAACAAAAATCCCCAAGATAAACGTCAAATGTCAAAACAATGTTTTCCTCATAACATTTCCGAATTTTCCTCGTCGTTCGTTTTAACTTCGATCTTATACAATTCAATTTACCGCATTCAATACCTAATAAATAATGTTAATCTAACAGTTAACTTCAACACCTCTTTAAAACAGAGTAAGTAAAATTTGTACTTAACCTCAAAAAGTTTCAATATTTTCATTTTAGAAACAGATCTGTACTTTTAAATATATAAATAAATCAAGAAATGTCCTCGAATTGCTGTTCAAACACCTTCCAATGGTTGCACCCACACAATCAAGACAAAAATGTGATCTGTGCTATAGTTCACATGATAACGATTACACTCGTTGCAATGTCTATGGTTAAACTGGATTGGTTTGTTATTTCTGGGGGTGTTTGTACCCCTAGCTTATCTCTAAGCTTATTTTTTAGCTTTGGATATACTTATCAAAAGTATCCTAATAACGGTACGTCGATTTTAAATGTAGGTGTTAAATTAATTTAAGTGATGTGGTTTTTAGAGTACAATTGTATAAATGAAACTATCGTAAATATGATGAGGGTTATTATCTTACTATGTTTTATGGCTATTATATTTTCTTTGTGCGGATATTTTCTTCACATAGTTGGACCAAAGAGTAGTATTTATAATTTTATGCGAAAATACGCTATGGCAAGTACATGTACTGTTCTGTGGGTACTTGCAATTATAAGTACTTGTTATTACGTTGCTATGCTACTTGATGATTCATTAGCTGATCTTTATCCATCTGTGGAAACAGTTGTTTCTTATGGATACGGGTTTTATTTAATAACAGCAGCAGGTAAGAAAATAAAATTGTTTTTAAAAGAATTTTAATGGTTATTTTATAGGTGCCGTATCTGTTGTTGGAACATTCTGTATCTTAACATTAATGAACACTCCAACTCCGATATACAGGGCGGATGATACGTGCCTAATAGACGATTTTAATGAAAATAATATGGATACTTTTAACTCACAAACACCACCACCTCCTTATAGCGCACCGCCCCCACCTTACACTCCATAAAAATTCCATTAAAATTTACCTTAAACTTTTCATTATAAATTCGCTTTAAATTTGAATTTGACTTATTGTTGTTAGAGTTATTGTTAAGTTGTTTTTAAATTAGACTAAGATAAGAAAAAAAGTTTTAAATAAGAAGAACTTTTATCGTTAAGGCTTCGATGTGAAACCGAATTTGAAACGAAAGCAAAGATGTGTTTTGTCGTTTAATATAAATATGTATTGTGATATCAGAATGTTTCTAGTCCGAGTCAGAAAGCGGCGAGAGCTGTAGCTGTCACGCACCAAAGATTTCGACCTCCTAAAGATTATTAACAAAAAAATTGAATAAAAATATAGAAATGATGGTTAATACAAAAACATTAAATAAAATAATAATAATAGGACTTTGTACGTCTACGTGCTGTCTTTCAACGTACTTTAAGGAAAAAATTGAATCATCATCAATATTTATGTATTTACCAAAATATAAATTATATGTCAGTCTATTTAAAAGAAAAGAAAATACATATTTTACTGGTTAATTAATCTTTTATTACTTTTTATTTATCCGTGATCACTGAAACAAAGATTAGCAAACCATGTACTGCAACCTCTTTTACGCAAAACAAAAAACAACAAGTGTAATATCCGATAATCTTGGTTGCTTATGTTTTTCGCGCGAGTCTGCCATGCTCCATCCTGTGTAGATGCCCCAGTTATCCTCGCCTGTCTTCCTCCTGGATAGGGCAGAAAATCTTACGGAGTATCTTCCCCTGAAATCCTCTGGTCTTTTTGCGTCATCGACCACGTTTCAGCAGCACAAGTCTTATTTGCGTTTTATAGTCTAAAATCTATAGACTATAGTATATTATTATGTCATACTGCAAAAAAGTTAACGGAAGTTATTTTGACGTAGAAGGCTTCATAAAATCTAATAATGTCTGACGAGTTAAATTTTTTTTTCTTCTTGCGCAAAATTTCCTCGTAGCACGCTAATAAATTTTTTATTCCCCGTTTTGTAGTAGAAATACGCATCTCGTTGGAATCTAATTTTTCAATTAAACTGAGGCCTTTTGTCAAGTTTGCAACCGTCATTAGATCTTCTGATTGAACCGGGTCTAAAGAATTAGATTGTTCAATGTCTTGATTAATAGCTCCTGATTGTGTGAATCCAGCAATTCTTGAACGTCATCACCATCCACCTCTAAATTTAAGTATCGGGCAAGATCGACCACTTATTCAATCACATTGTTAATTTGGTCAGGATCTGGCGTTGATTCAAAATAATTGCGATTCAACATCATTCGAATGGGATTTAGAAAACTATCTGCCTTTATCTATGATAGTTCAAATGCAAAGGTGTGCCAATGAAATGAACATAACACAAGAAAATCTTGGAAATTATGTTCGAATCGACAATATTGCATTAACAGAAGATGAGTTTTAACATTGATGATGTGAAAACATGACTGAACATAATCCTGCACCAGTAGGAAAAGAAGATCTGGAGTGTGACACTGTTGAAAGCAGCAACACAATTACTACATATAATGAGGCTTTCCTTTACTTTTCCTATCTTGGTATCATCACTTCCTGTTGGGAAAAAAATCAGTAAAAACTGATTTTTACTTGATGAGGAGGAAAGGTTGAATGTGAATGAGGATTGAATTAGATGACTTACATGGTCCTATAAAGCTAAACATGTCAAGGATATCCATAATAGAGAATGACTGGACTTTGTGTGGAGAAGTAAGGCGTATTCTGCATAAAGTTATTAAATTGGATTGCAAAAACACCAGTTAATAAAACATTCCTTTTTACTTAAATATACCTTTTATTATAGCAACTGAAAAAAATAATATAAAAATTTAACCCTTTGCAGATTAATTTAATAATCATCCCAGAAAACCCAAGAACTTCAATTACTTTTAATTACAATTTCAAATTTAATTTATTAATCTGCATCATTGAGTTGAGGATACAAAGTAATTCTACAGAACAACTATTTGGATGCTTTAATAAAGGGCGTTAAAATAGTAATCTTTTTAAAACAACCTACAAATTATAAATAAAAGTAAATTACAATTCTTTTAACTATACACACATATATCACAGTGCGAAATTTTTTTTAATCCACTTTAGATAGTCATTATTACGCAATTTTTTTATATACACATATTTTTATTAAATTAAAGACACACTCCAACATGAAAAAAGGCTGTACATAATTATTGAAAAAATTTATGTACAATGCCATTCAAAAAGCTTGATTTAAACAAATTCTTGTTTAAATCTAATTAATTTTATGAGTACTTTTAATGATACTAGCAAAATCAAAACTGGGCATTTCTAAGGGAGCTAAAGCAGCAACCACCGACGAAGTATCTTGAACTTCGGGGCTCAGTTCACTACATGGTGATACAATAAATGGGGAAGTACCCCCAGATGAGTCTGTTATTACTTTTAAATTATTCGATGGATTGTTATTTTGAGCTACAAAAAAACAATCGTAATCTCTTCAAATCATTTTTTAAAACTCTTTTTACCTTTAACATTTTCCAATTGCTTCACTCGATCTCTCAATAAAGAAACTTCTTGTTTACTAGCATCTAATTGAGTAACGAGTTTATAAACCAAAGTATGTAATTGTTCGTTTAATGTACGTAATTCCTCGATGACTTCTGTTTCATCTTTGGGTCTTTTTGATCCGATTACATCAACATCATTTGCAACATCACTATCACTGCTCGTTCCACGATTATCTAATAATGTTCCCAATAAAGAATCGGCCATATCCATATTTTTATAAATCGCTACTTGTAAAGTAGTACTTTCATTTTCATGAGCATTTTCAAACTCATTTGAAGTGTTACTGTCTCTCTTCCTATTAGCTAAAGCTTTTTTGTAATTTTCAAATTGCTCCTCTTTAATTGCTACAATTTGCACTTGTCTTAAAAAATGTTCACGTTGTTGTTTTAATGAATCTAATAACTTCTCATTTGTTGTTAAATTTAAAGCTTCAACCATATGTTCCGCAGCTTTTTTATAACATTCAATTGAGTCTTGGTATCGCCGAGCTTTTAAGTGAGCTTCAGCTCGCCTTTGAAGTGTGTGGGCCTTGATTTTTTAAAGGAAAATTTTTTTTAATATCGTTTGAAAAAACGTTGAAAATTATGTAATTAATGAAGTTTTCAGTTACCTGGACTAAAACTGACGTTTCCATTTTATTATTTTCGGTCGGTTTATGTGATTTTTTTCAACAAAGAAATTAGATAGCGAATCATTTTTTTTATAAATCTAAAATCTGGCACACATCGTGCAAAAACTAACAATGAGTGTTTAGGGAAAAACTTTAAGAAATGAAAATCACTATTTGTCTTTGACAACGTTTTATTTTCATTATTCGCTACGAGATGGCCATAAAGAAAGTGATCTTGTTTAAGTTACTCAAAACTGTGCTATTAATATCCAATAGATGGCGTTGCCACTAAAAACATCGAAAAATTGTAAAAAGTTTCATTTTTTAGATCAAAAAGTACTTCAATATTTCGACATGCAGAGTTTAAGACTTAATGATCTGATAATTCAACTGGGTATCTAATAAACTCTGATAAACCCAACTATGAACTATGTGATATAATCATCCCACCTTTAGCTTGTAAATCAGCGTCATAAAAGAAAACACCAGAAATCCTTTTGTACACAAACTTTTAATATCATAGGCTATGCTAACTGTATTAAGTCCATCGGCTAAATTTGACACCTTTTTTATGCCTATATTTATCGTTTCACTTTAGCCTTAGACTTTAAAGACAAAAACGGAAAAATTAAATATTCCAAACCCAAATATATTTCGTTCCCTCAGAATGGTGTTGTCGAACGTTTGCTCGAATTAGTCTTCCATTGGCATGGGGGTTCCACAGGGTTCAATTTTGGGGCCTTTGCTATTCATACTTTTTATTAATGACCTACCCGGCTTCCTTGAGGATTCTCATTTGGTTATGTACGCTGATGACTCATCTATTACAATTGCAGATGCGAATCCAGATCGGTTGAATATGAAGTAGGGAAGCTTTCAGGACTCATTCGATACTCACCTTGCCATATATTTATTTATTGAAGGCTTTGGTTTATGTAAAGACTAATATAAGCCGTTTTGTAATTTTTACTCACAAATATGATACCCGTGATGGAGACCTCCACATGTGAAAGAAGTCCCTTTTATGACTTTCCAAGACTTTATAATAATTTACCCCGGTCGATTAGATCTCAGGAGTGTCCCAAAAAATTGGAACAAATTGTAAAACGGTACCTCTTAGACTCTGTGTTCTATTCAAGCCAGGAATTTTTAAATATTAGAGGAGGATAATTAGGTTAATTAAATATTAGGAGGAATATTAGAGGATATAGAGAGATAGCGAAGGTTAGGTATGGTAAAGGAAAGAGGAGGGAATATTACAAAAGGACGGATTATTCGTAGGCAGAGATAAACAACAGAAGAAGGGAGGTAAGCGACAGGGACGACAAAGAACGCAGATAAGAGAGGGAAGGTACAATGAAAAATATGGGAACATAATGACGGAAGGGCTTCCAAAATACTTGGTGAAGGAGGGGAGTGAGGAAAGGAAGAGGTTGGTGGCCAGATTTCGGTGTGGTAATAAGGAGAGAGCGAACAGGTACGGGGCGAATAATGTGGAGAAGTGGTGTCGGCTGTGTGGAGAGGATTGGAACAACGCTAGAACATATGTTGAGGGGATGTAGTGAGCTGAGATAAGAAGAAAAGAACCGCTGGCAAATTCTGGAAGAAGGGGAGAACCTCTTTTTGGCCAAAATCAGAACAGAACAGGACCACAGGAATACAAGTACGAAGCGAGGGATTGTGTTATGCAAGAAGAGAGAGTATTTCAAGAATCAAGGGAATTCAGTGTCTTCTGGAAGGGAAAAACTACTTCACCGAATGTTTGCTGTTTCTATGTTTGTCCTTCTTGTCTTTAACAACTCTCGACATTGTCCTACTCTTTGTATAGTTCCTAACATATTTTGTAGCCTCTCTCAGCACCATACTTGACATCTTAAACATCGTTCTCTACCTGTTCTCAACATAATCCTTGACATCTCTCAACTCCATCGCTAATTTCTGTCAATGTCATCTCTATTTTTTTCACTTTAAATTTGTTTGCTTCATTTCCTAAAAGTTTTTCTCGGTGAATAAAAATAGAATGTAGTAAAGACGTTTTGATGAGATCATGTTGTATATAGATGGATATTTTCTGGATGTTAAATTCATGACTCAGACATCACTTCTTTCGTCAAAGGGCAGGAATGCAAGTACGAAACGAGAGATTGCGCAAGAAGAGAGAGCATTTCAAAAATCATGGGAATTCAGTGTAAGCGGGAAGGGAAAACTACTTCACTGAATGTTTGCTGTTTCTATGTTTGTCCTTCTTGTCTTTAACAGCTCTCGACATTGTCCTACTCTTAGTATGATTCCTAACATATACCGTAGCCTCTCTTGACACCATACTTGACAACTCAAACATTGTTCTCTAACTATTCTCAACATAGTTCTTGACATCTCTCAACTCCATTACTAATTTCTGTCAATGTCATCTCCTTTTTTTAACTTTCAATTTTTTTTGCTTCATTTCCTAAAAGTTTTTCTTGGTGAATAAAAATAAAATGTAGAATGATGAGATCATTTTGTATATGTATAGATGGATATTTTGTGGATATAAAATTTGTTGAAACGTAAATCTTTTGTTGTCCTAGATAATAATATCTTGATTGGAAGGAATTATGGTAATAACTGAAAGCGGTTAGCATATTCTATTACCGCTAACAACTTGGACAATATAGTCGATCGTAAAGCGGTTTCAAAAGTATACGATCCGGTGAGGTCCACGAAGTTACATATATGGGCGTTTATTGTTTCTGGCGGGCCGTAAGGTAATTTGGGGAGTAAAACGGCCGCGCGGGCCCCGGTAATTGACCAATTATGGCTTGTAAGCGATGTCGGCAATAATGGGAATTTATTTATGATCCCCGGCAGTTTGAAAACAAACATCGGCTTTCTTATTTCGTTTTATTGCGTTTTCACGCGTCACGCCATCAAAGAAAAAACTTTTACTGCAGTATACTTTTATACGAAATCGCGTTAAAATAGTTTTCTCTTTACATTTCAAGATGTTTAATGACAATTAGGATAACGGGACCGGATGTCTTACCCGTGGTAATTGAATGATAACACTTTAAACAGAACCAAGCGCGGAATTTAATTAGAACTTGTTTCCTCATTTCGTCTGGCGAGACAATGAATAAGACAATTTAACTTTGGTTTATCAAAAAAACTACGTCTAATTCTTAAATTTTTTTAAATGATTTCGTTGTCAGCCATATTTGCAAAAAGATTTTCTCGTTATAGATTCAAAAAGTCGTTCCCTCTCAGTCGCCTATGACGCAATCTTGGTGATTGTTGTTATTGGCCTTTCTTCTTTGGTCGGGGACCAGTAGAAATGATTGTTCGTAGGTGTTCAGCCAGCCTCTTGCTCCCATATATAAACCAAGACGGCGTAACAACTTTTGCCTGTTGCCTTTTTTTTCAACCAATCGACTTCCCCTTCCCCAAAAACAGATCTTACGATGTAATTAATACCGCCTTATTTGGCAACGATCGATCGCAATCAGATCCGCGCATCGATTAGGGATACTTCTCTTTTTGGCAAACGAACCAACCGTCTCCTCTTAATATAAAATCATCTCATCTCAATCTCTTCGAAACGGGAGGTTGTTTTTTCAATTGCAAGAGACGTCGTAATAATAGAAATCTGCTTATGATTCACCAGAGTAACCGTATTTGGGCCTTTGAACGGCGTGTTTACGTGCGAGTGCGGGCGAAGAACTGTTATTAGTTAACGGAGGGGCAGGGAAATTGTAACAGCCCGCCCGAAGAAACTGGCCATTAAGGCCATGAGAGACGTGCATACGCGATAGAGCCCTCGGGCCTCGCCTTTATTAGCTCGGATGGGAAAGTTCGTGCCCGGGAAAATTAACTCTGCGTTTCAAAAAAATTAAGAAAAATTATCCCCTCATCGAGAGGTGCCCTATCACGTATAAATTTGCTTCTAGGATTAACGGTTCTTTAACCAATTAACTAAAATTTTCAACGCTACATAAACAACTCTATTAACTTTTTCTTCTTAATCATCATCGAAGCTATAATCCTACTTTTATAACCCTATAAAATCCCATTTTTTTACTCTAAGTGTTTTTAAGATTGGATATTTTTAGAATAAAGTGGACAAAAAGTTTGAAGAACGAATCAATGTACTTTGAAGATATAACCACCAAAAAGTAGGACATCATGATTTTTGAGGAAACATGATTAAATTTATATTTAGGTAGGGAAAATATTCAGCATTTTCCCGGAAGAGGTTTTGTACAAGTTTCGACACCCAAACCACGTTGGTTAACTTCTTTTCGGCAGAAGTAGCTCGATCTCCATTCGATGAAATTATAGTCCTATATACAAGCATCTAGTGATGTCCCACTCAAAACTTGTATAGAGCGATACCATCCGGGCCAGGTACTTTTAGTTTGCTGCTATCAACCTAGGCTCCTGTGAGAAACCCAACCCAATCCTTTCTTGTTGACATGGTAAAATCCTTAAAAAACGACGACAGCCAAGCTTTCATCGAGCTGTAGTGTGGGCTTTACCCATCAAAAAAACTAAAGAACCACTCTCTCAGGTTTTGACGTTAACTTCAACATCACAAGCTATGGATGTACCTCCGCTCTCTATAATTTTGTGCTGGGTTTTTCGAGCTAATCTACGACGAATTGTGAATGATCCGTGGTGTACTATTTAAAGCCATAGTCCAAATTTAAACACATAGAGCAATTTGATTTGTAAAAGAACAAATTGTATAAGATGTTATCCAATGCTACCAGCGATTTAAGCCTCGTTCCAGTACCTACAATATGGGTCTTGTTTATTGAGCTTCTACCATGTCAAATCCATACAACCACTATATTTAACATTCTTTATACGCTTATGACATATTTCGAATGATTTACAGGAATTTTTCAGGCCATACAATAAAATTGCTTTTGCCATAATGTATTTATGGTTTGATTTTCCTTGCTGACCATTGTGTTGTAATTTGGAATAAAGATATACTAATGTGCACTTAAACAATGGACTTTATTTATTACTAATTGCGCCTTCTCGTTCAAGAGCATCCATAATTAAAACTTCGTTTCTGGATCCATATTGGATGTTTGCCAGTTTTCCTACAAAACTTTCAAAGATTGTTTCTCAACACTATTTCTAATATGTTGGCCCAACTGACGA